GAGCTTAGCCTTCCCACTATGTACAATTGTAGACTTCCTTTACTGCAGACTGTTAGGTTACTCAGGTGCTTTCTCAAGGATTTTCTCTCTCCTTCCACTTTTCATTTCATCTGATTAGAAGGCCATAGAACATTTCCTCAGCTTCAGTATGGGGATTTACTCCTGTCTTCTTGACATTCCCATGAAGACAGGTGGCATTCAGTCATAGGTCCTGTCTTTGGTCTTTTCTCAGTTCCAGATGGATGATTTTCTCACTCTGCAGTGAGTATTTTCTCAGGACTTGGATGACCCAGATCGAAATCTCACATGCTTTTCTGAACCTCCCAATATGTGGCTATCACTGTTGTGACCTTTTCACTCCATCTAGAGTCATCTTGTTTTGGGGTGGCTGGTTCAGCTCTCCAGTTCAGTCTTGATTCCCACCCTGTATATCATTCACTTAAGAGTCAGTGCATTACAGGTGGCACTTATGTAGTTCTGTGCTTAGTGACAACAAAATCTAAAAACAAAAACCTATCAACCAATGCCTCTGTTAAGATGGGAGTGCAATTCTTGACACTTGATCCATTTCCATAGTCTGGTTTCCAGAGGAGCATTTTCTGTATATCTTTGTCCTTGAGATGTGGCTTCTAAGCAGGTTTACCATCATCTTCTGTATCATCTGTCTGGTCTTCTTATCATGATCCATTCAGACACATTTTCTGTTGTTTCTTCCATTCACTGATGGGGAAACACTCACTTATAGGACTCTAGTTTTTTTCTTTTGGACCCACATCTACCAAATTTGATTACTGGTCTATTATGTCTTGGGAGTTTAATCCCACTGGTGGATTGACTATCTTGCCTAGACGAGATCTTTCCCACATAGTGTTCTCCCTATTGTCTTTTTATCCTCTGGTGTTTTAAATGGGTTTGGTCTCATTATAGGATTCCTATTATTATTATTATTGCCTTTTTGATTTTCCTCAACACCTAGCTTTCAATCTTTTAGTCTTCAATTTCAGATTCTACAGTTCTAATAGAGGAAGCTTTGTGTTTGGAGTGGCTCAATCTCCATATATATGCTTTAGTTATATTTTCTTCTCCATGCATGTGGTAGCTGTCACTAACCCTTTTTTTTTCTTTAGATGCTTCCTGCACTCTTTGTAAAAAAGAACAAGTCAATCTTTTTACCTAACAGTTCCTTCCTTCCAAAATCTTGGGCTACTTTGGAGGGTGATACGATGTTTTCTCCATTCCACCTTCTTTTTATTTCTTCCCTGTGTGATCCTCCTGAACTAGATTATCTCCTGCACAGGCTACTTCTTGTATTCTCACTTGTGCTGTCCCTTATCTGAGCAGTTGAAAACATCTTTTCTTGCTATGGGATTCCTATTCCTCTAGTAACTTATCTTCATTTATTTTAATGGGTTATACACCTCATGTGGCTAGTTTATTTTTCTATGAGTGATAACACTTTTCTTATTTTACATGTCATCTCACAGAATCTCTTGCCTCTAACTATCAATGTCCCCTGTATGAGATATTTCATATGGGGATGTAGATGACCTATGACACATTAGTGTCACTTTAGTTACCCTACATTGTGGTTTTATCTTCCTTGGGTATCATCTCACTTCAGCCACCATTCTCCACTCTTCACAAACACCTTATTCAATCTCTCTCTCTCTCTCTCTCTCTATATATATATATATATATATATATATATACTATATATAAGTTAAGTAAACAATACGTACTTACTACTAGTGGTCGTTGTTGTTCGTACCTACGAGGTAACTTACTTACTTACCTTTACCTAATTTAAGTT